GTATAAATATAAGATTTAGGGTAATAAAATAAAAGTGAGATAATTATACGATTGGATAAAAATAATAATAATCAGGTAATAAATGGTAAAAATTAAAAAAAGAAAATTTCGTATAATCAAAGAAAGATTATTAAATTAAAGAAATTTATATTACTATAGTAACAGTAATAATAACAAAGACTTTTTTACTTTGTTCTTTTATAAATAAAGAATATCAAAATAACAAAAATTAAAATGCTTAATATTTAAAATTAATAATTTAATAATAGTGATTTGTTTAATAATTCAATAATAATAATTTGTTTAGTACAATATAATTAAAAGTCCAAAATCAATATTAGTGATTTGTTTAGTATAATATAATATAAAACTATTAGTATTTTGTTTAGTATAATATAATAATTCAAAACTATTTATATACAAAATTTAATGAATATAATTAAAAATATGAAAAACAAATATTTTTTGAAAGATTTTTGTTAAGAAAGAATTTTACTTTTTATTTATAACATGTCAAATTAAGACTCAAACAGAATCTCTATTTATATATTTTTTGAAAATACAATTTCAAATATAACTATTATAATATAATTATTTGAAGGTAAAATAATTGAATAGAAAAGTGAAATAAAAATAAAATAATAGATAAAAAGATAAAATAAAAGATAAAATAATAATAAAAAATAAAATAAAAGATAAAAATAAAATAATGAATAAAATAATAATATAAGATAAAATAAAAAGTAAAATAATAAAAGATAAAATAATGGGTAAAATAATAATATTTAATGAATTATTTTTATATTTTTAATATTTTAGAGATTTTCTGTTTTTCTACTATTTTTGAAAGTTATAGTTTTTTTGAATTTATAAAATTATTATTATTATTATAACAATATATTTTTTGTAAAATTAGATAACAATATATATTTAATTATCAAAAAATTATATAATTTTTTATATTTTTATATATTTAATTATAAAAAAATTACATGACTAATAATAAACAAAAAAATATATATTTTACTTTTAATAAAATATTTTTTTATTATAATAAAATTTAAGATAAGTATAATTAAAAAATTTATTTGTTAGGAAAATATCAAATATCAAATAATTTTTATTTATTAGAAAGTAATTTATATATTTTTATTTAATTAAAATAAGTTATAATTAACAACTTTCAAAATTATAAAATTTTTAATTTTATTAATAAATATTAATTTTTATATCAAAATAAAGATTATAAGTTATAATTTAATATATATTTTTTTTGGATTTTTTAGATTTTTTCTGATAAAGTTATTTTAATTACAATAATTTAAAATAATTTTATCAAAAAAATCCAGAAAAAATATATATTAAAATATAATTTATAATTTTATTTAATATAAAATAAAAAATTTTTATTAATAAAATTTAAAAATTTTTATATAAAAGAAAATTTTAATTTTTATTATATTTTATTAATAAAACTATATTTAAATAAATCTTTCTAAATGCATTCTCTATAAGTGCATATTCTTTCTAAATGCATATTATAATTAGATCCCAATTCATAAGAGCTCTATATATTTTGCTCTTATAAATATACATACTCTCTAAATGCATACTTTATTATGGTTCAGAAGGATAAATTTAGGAAAATTTGTTTATATATAATTTATAATTTTGAAAGTTACTGTATATTATAATTTTATAAAATTTAATAATTAATTATAACTCTATTTTTTCTAAGAATTATTTAATATTTAATACTTTTCTTATAAGATTTAAGATTTCAATTGAAAATTAATCAAAATAAAATTTGAAAATCTAAAATAAATACTTAGTTAAATTTATTTTTATAAGATAAAATACTATTTTTATAAAAATTAATTATTAAAAAAAAATATTTTTTTATCTGTAATTCTAATTAAAAACTATTTTTTTATTAAATTTTTTTATTTTTTTATTAATTTAATTGTTATATTAATTAAGAATTATAATTAAATAATAAATTAAAAATAATATCCAATAAAATATAATCAAATTTCTTTATAATTATATTTATTTATAATCATATTCCTCTATAATTATTCTATTTTACTTTTTTATTTATATATAAATATAGTAAAAAAAATTCTTTCTCTATAATTACATTCTCTTTATAGTTATTTAATTTTGCTTTTTCAAATATGGTAATTATAAAGAAATTTGACTATATAAGTAATTATAAATTAATAAACTAATAAATATAAAATAATCAATAAGAATATTGTTCAATAAGGATACAAATAATAAAATATACTATAACAATATAAATTATAATTTTTATTTTAATATAAAAACAAAAAATATTTATTAATAAAATTTAAAATTTTTATAAAATAAAAATTGCAATTTTACTGTTTCATTAATAAAGTCACATGCAAAATTCCATAATTTTGTTAATCACTATAAAAATTTCTTTATTACAGACAAATCTCTCTAAACACATTCTCTATCTAAAATCATCAAACGTTTGTATTTTACAAAATGTATAAACTTCTTTACAAAGAAGTAAATGCAAAATTTAATCCGTGAATATGATAAAATAGACTCTTTCTGAGAATATCCACGGATTAAATTTTGTATTTACTTCTTAGTAAAGTTGTTTGTTTATACATTTTATAAAATACAAACGTTTGGTGACTTTAGATGTTATGCACCATATATAAGTGCATATCCTTTCTAAATGCACATTATGATTGAATCCCAGCTCTATATTTTGCCCTCTATAAATGCACGTTTTACTATGATCCCAGAGGGGTGTATTTAGGGAGGTTTGTCTGTATATTTATCTTTGACTTAATTCTGATTGTTAAATAAAACTTTATCTTTATTTGCAAGAACTACAAAAAGCAAAATCACAAAGATCTTGACATCCCTAATACCATTGTCACTCAAAACCAGTGTTGGCGTATAACCTATTATGACATATATAGATCATAATATCATACACCAACACTGATCAAAACTATCTACCTGTCACCAAATAGATTAATTACAGCACATATTGGTCAGCTTTTGCTGCTTCTTGTAACGTGAATACAATTGCTGCGATAAAAATTTCATGTCGCCTAATTTCTTTCGAAGGGATGTCAAGCTGCTAATCTTGATGGAATGACTCTGGCTATAGGTCATCTAGAAGAGCATTTTCGGAGCAATAATTGCATCAATAGAGTTGAAATTCTTTTGTTCCGGTTGAGAGCACTTATCATCTTCATTTCACGAAACACGAGGCAAGCCCGCGCATCAATTTCAATGTACAGACAAACCTCTCTAAATGCACCCTCTATAAGTGCATACCCTTTCTAAATGCACATCATGGTTGGATCCCAGCTCATAAGAGCTCTATATATTTTGCCCTCTATAAATGCACACCCTCTCTAAATGCATGCTTTACTATGGTCCCGGGGGGGGTGCATTTAGGTAGGTTTGTCTGTACTTATCAATGCCGAAGACTGCGCGAAAACCGCCGCAGGATCTAAAAGACAATACTTTAACTTTCCCCCGTGTATCAAAATCTCGTGAGCAACTTCCTTGAGTAGGGCACTGCGGAGTGTACCAGCTTGCGGCACAAATCGGTTTTCAATTTCGGCCATCGCCTTTACAGCCACGTATTAAGATGCAAACCGCAAGACTTTTTTCTGATAATGATACGAAACGTCAAAATCTTCCTCCTCTGTCGGGGAGTTTGTGAATATGGACGATTTTGTGATTGGCTTTATCCCTGTCATTGATATCAACACCCCCACTCGTCGAACAACTCTTCAAACGGAACCAGATCACATGAAAAATCTTCGTTCTATCACCTCCTCCGATATCAAATCGACATTGTTGTCATGGTGAATTTATCGAACTTCTTATGGCTAGACTTCTTAACAGATAATAGTCGTCTTGGCGGCAATATTTGGACGGCGACCGACCATCCAGTGTACCAAAAATCTGTATTCGCCAAATCTTCTTTAAACTGATTTCATGGATAAATTGCAAGACGTTGCGGAGAGTTTAACAGTAGTAACGCCGTCAATGGCACAGAGGCCTCAACATTAATCCTATTTAACAATTTGATCAGTTTAATTGCTACAAGGTTATAAGATATTACGCTAACAATGAACATCATCGTTGGAACTCTTGGAATTCTTCGGTTCTATGCTTGCACGTGAAGGGAAAATGGTATTATGCCACGATTTTCGCAAACGCTACTTCGGAGACGTTCCAGGTTGATATTAAGTAAGTGGCAGAGACATCGGCGGATTAATAGAGAGGATCCTCGATCTTCCTCGCCACGCCGAGAGCCGATAAAGGGTCATGTCTTTTAAATTCATTTCCATAAGATCCTTTACAAGTTGCATTATCTGCCGCCATACATATGTATTTTGAAGGTGGTATTATCCTCCTCCTTTTTCCTATACAAATGGATACAGAAAGCAATTAAAAGGGGATAGATGAACAAAGGTTTCAACTCCTTTTAAATAAAACGAAGATCTGATTATTGCATCAATAAAATTTTAACCCCTGAAATCTGTTTGTTGCATTATGCATAATCAAACGTTCAGATCACAACTTGCCTCAGCCCAAATTAACGTTAAGGGGAGATAGGCTAATTTTGGCCGAAATGAGCACGTGAAGTGTGTTTATAAAAATGTGACTAACCGTTTCTGGTTTGTTAGCGGGATTTTATAATGAATGTGACTATATAGAAGTGATTTTATTGAAAAGAGTGTGATTATAGTGGGATTTTTATAAGATGTGACTATAACGAGAAAGGATTCATGCAAACTAACATCACTATATAGAATGTAATTTCTTAAATCACTAGAGAATTACTGATCTAATCATGACTTCATAGTGAAGTATCAGAATATCACCAGCCAATCAAAAGTACAGTATAACCACGACAATCACACCAAATTTGGGTTTTTTCTATTATTTTTTTATTTCTTCATAACCAAGTATAACAGGAAAGCACAATAAATACAATGACAACTTGTGGAAGTTTCGTACCTTAACTCTACCGATACGTATTACTTTTATTACTACTATAGTGTCTACTTCTACATTGATCGAATCAAAAATGGGAAATAAACGAAATAAGAGCGACAAAGTAAAGAATAAGCATCAAGCTGTCTCACCAAAGCGGAGAAAGGTATGAGGAATTCGCTTTATGATTTAGTTTCGTCGACACCCCTTTCCTTAGTGTTATTATGTGCGCCGAATAAGTAAAATAGATGTAGAGTTTCATGCACACAATATATCTTATGCAACTTCCATTTTTAGCAAGTACTACGTCATCCCAAATCACTATCTTGCTCTGCACCGGAACGAAAAAACCTTTCACAAACTCTTCGCTAATCTAGTAAATTAAAACCTTTAATATATTTATTAACTTCACTCACCTCTTTTTTCAAGATGCTGCCCGACACTACGGAGCAGACCAACCACCAAACAGATGCCACTAATACTTCAACTGCTGAACACACCATAAACGGCTCTGAAAATATTTTTCCTTCGAATACATCAATAACAGCAGGTACACCGACAACAAACAACATCATTGACACCGGCAGCACAGCACCGGCATCTGAATTTGAGACAGTACCACTCGGGGAACCTGGTCAATCAACTCCATCAAATGGCCACCACGCTTCCTCCTCATCTTCACAACCTATAACTGACATTGACACTATCGATGCTGAAAATGGAAAAACAAAAGATCCCGATTCGGAATCAGAGTGTGAAGAGAGTGTTGTACTAATGGCTGGTGTCGCGCCTGAGCCTTCTAATGGACATGTTAAGGTGGTAGTGAAACGCTCTGAAATCGATCGAAAGAAACTCGAAGATATTTTACAAAAAGATGGGGAGAGTGATAATGAGGACGAGACAATGACTGATGTTGAGCAGAGTATATCACCGGAACCAAATTTTACACCTTCACAGCAAGAAGGATTCTGTATAGATTGTAAGGACCAGGTAAATTTAAATATGTTTTGAGAATGGGTAAAAGCATTCATAGATATTTCTCTGAATTTTTATTTACCTTTGTGTAGGAGGCGTCATATTTTTGCGAACAATGTAAAGATGAATTTTGCGAAGTGTGTTTCGCGATGCTTCATCGTACAGGCAATCGGAAAAATCACATAACCAGGAATTTAAAAAGTAAAACTTTGCAAGTACCAAGCAATAAATCCTTAGGAAAAGCTTCTACATCTGCAAGTTCATCAACTTCCGATCTCGGTGTGGATGACGTATGTATTTTTTATTACACTTTATTATGTGACACTTTGATCAAATTTAACAAATGTAATTAATAGGAATTAACTGGTTCGGAAAGTGAATTCACAAAAACAGCAACAATCATTTCAAATGGAGGAACAACATTCGGTCAGTGGTTAGAAGAACGGTGCAAATTTATTCCAATACGTTTAAATATGGATGAACGGAAAATGTTAAGATTGTATGTGATCACAGTATTTCTTTCTATATATAATAAAAAAACACTAAAGACAATTTCTTTTTTAAAACAATATAGACTTGAGGCGGCCTTGAATGTTTCAGGTAAAATATTTCCTCGAATGATTCATTTAAGCTCATCGTCACTCTTTGTTATCGCAATGACAACCTTCATACTGACCTTTTCTCTTATAATAGAATACACCGATAGAATTGATATAATGTCATTTTCTCCGCCGTCAGCTAAAGCCAAAAGGATGGTACATCAAATTAGGGATCTTTGTTGGATCTTATCTGGACTTTTAATTGCTCAGTAAGAATGCCAATAATTTATGTATATGACATGCACGACCAAAATGATATTCAAATAACACTAATTTTAATGTAGTGATTACAAAAAGGGGCAAGAACTAATTGCCGACCATACATTCAAAGATAACGAAGAATTCTTCAAAATGATATTCGAGATTGGAAGGCGACACAAAGTCATGAACCCAGAAAAAATGCGAGATGTATATGGAAAATTGATGTATATGCTTATGGTAAATTGCTATAAATTTGATCATTACTAGATAAATTCATAAAATTCACCTGATGCTCACGATTTTTATTTCATTTCTATAAATAGGATTCCACCATTGACGATGTTCAACAAATACTAGGTTTTGACATGGTCAAACCAATCAAAAACGTATACGAGTTTCTTGTGAAACGGAATTGTATCGAACTACTCCATAACGAACATGTGGTAAACGCAACCAAGGAAATTATAGCAGATGGGAAGTCACGAGAGCAAGTGCAGAGAGAGATACGCGAGAAGGAACGAGCTATCGAAATTTTGAGTAGAGATTATCAGAATTCTGATATTACTCCCGATGAGATTAAGCTGTGTTTATATAGTATTGGAGATAATCACGCCTATTTACGGAGTAATCGGTAAGTTGTAATCATTATGGGTTGAAAGTTTTATCCACGTCTCAATGATTAGATAATTGATATTTTGGTATTCTGTTTTCTTATTTTATAGTGATTGCTGTGACCGTATGCTTAATTATTTGTCAACTTATTTTTCTCCAAGCAAAATTGATGATGGGTACTCGTTAGCTATACGCCCTGGATCTCATGGTGCTCGACTCTCTCACACTCATGAGATGCAATTCTACTATGCGTAAGTATATTTGTATTTGATTTCTCGCTTTTATTTAATCTACTATATAATAATTGTATAACAATACTTATTATCTCTATTTTTATAGAAACCAAACACTTTCACTTTGGCGGGAAATTCAAAATGAAATGTTCATGCTCTGGACACTAGCGGATCGTGACCTATTATCCGACACAAACACATACCGTTTACGTGACACCGGTCAAGGTCTAAACAGGGTACAAATGTGTCCAAACGTCTCAAAAGCTATGCATTCGATCCTACATCGTGCACAACAAAAAGCAAGATATTGGGTTGGTAGTTCGGTGATTCATCTTGGAGATAAGAATGTGCCTAACGCACTCATGTTCATAGACAAAGTACGTTTCACATATAATCAATTCATTTTTTAGCCAAATATATGCTAAATAATAATAATCCTTAATTTCTTTGTTCGATATTTATATAGTATAATCAAGTCGCACGAATACTTAATCCGATTCTCATCTGCCTAGATTCAATTGAACCGCTAATACAGAAGAACGTCGGAATTCGTAATTACATTAACAACACATATGGCGGCCCCGAAAAACTCAGAAAAGATATCCTGGCCGACTTTTTCCGGTACGCTTTTGATGGCAGCGGCGCCGATAATTTCTTCGACGCAGGAAGCTGCATTGACGGAAGGCTCACGAGTGCTTGGAATTGGTGCTCGCAAATCGAGAAGAAAGTGTATTTCCCAGTGTTTCTGCTAACAGTGAGTAGAGTTCTACATCATACACTTTGATAGCTTTCTTGTATGTTTTTGATGATTGATGACTGATACACTTTTTTTGTTTCGTTTATTTTTATTAGGGATTTACTGGGTTCGATGGACGTGACTTTTAAAACAAGAAGAATGAAAATAGTAATCGTAATCGTAATCGTAACCTTAACAATAATGATGATAATATTATTATGATTTTTAATTTTAATAAAAAATTCATTTGCTGGTGGTTGCTTGCGTACACTTCTATGATTAGTTACGCTACAAATATGATTTTGATCAACACTTCGCAGAGGCTATTTGTATTATAGATGAACAAAATTTATCAACTTAATTATTAATTTGGCTTTCCTCCCTAATAACTTGTACTTCTATAAGAATCCGGAACAAAATTTCCCCTGTATCCACGAGACCGTGAGATTTTAACCTCGATAAAAATAGTGAGTGATAGAGCCAAAAAATTCATAAATGCAACACTTTATTTTTGTAACAATTAACAATATCAAAGCATAGATAAAATATTATAAGTAAAAGAGCTACAGCAATTTAAATTGCATAATTAATTTAACTTCATTATTTAATGGTCGTAAGCGGTCGTTAATTTATTTTTAAATTAAAGAAATAACAAAAAGCACATTAAATTCTTAATTAAAAATACTTTATAATAAATTCGGTTTAACGACAATTTTTTTGGCATGCTTATAATTATGTAACAAAAATAAATAAATAAATACAAAAAATAAATTTAAAAGATAATTTTTATAAATTGAATTACGTATTATATTATAATTTACTTGTTACCAATTTTTTTTAATATTCAATCTAAAAAAAATTATGCGATTTAATTACAGTATTAAATTGGAATTTGAGAAGATTAAAAAAAATACAAAAATTTTCGCATAAGAAATTTAATACCAGAATAAATTTAAAAAGTGAAGAATTTCGAATTGAATTTTTTTATTTAAAATAATGATGTCCAAAGTCTAAAGGCCACATAAACAAAATTTTTGGTTTCATAACACATGACTATGTAAAATGACCCGGTGACTCGGCTTTTTATTTTTAAAGTCAAAAAATTTTATTTATATGAAATTAATTGTTTTTCTAGTCGGTAACTTCGGGACGCGATATCTCGCGATCCAATGGTCGGATCGAAGCGATCTAACCATCATTCAATTGTCTAGTTAAGGCAAATTTAATAATATATAGTTAGATCTCTTCGATCCGTTTACTGAATCGCGAAACATCGCGTCCCGAAGTTACCGGGGGCTAAAAAAATGATCGATTTTTATACCTGATTGTAATATTAGATTGCGCCTCAAAATTTAAATTTCATAAGCAGGTTTGATGACCCGGCCGGGTTATGAAAACCAAAAACTTTTATTCTAAATTCTTTTTTAGCATAATATATATAATATATATATATCCACTTTTAGATCTTAAAATAAAGAGTTCTGATTGGTCAGATTGATTATTATACGTATATAAGATCTACAATTCAAAATTGGCATTATGGCGCAGTATTGGGTATCTTGGGCTGTCTTCCACTATACAAATTATCTGCAAAATTTAAAATATTATTTTAATTTGTTAAATATAAAAAAATAGACTTGACATTATAATTACATACGCAGGATATACGATATTTTTTTGTGTGCTAATTTCAGACCCCAAGCAATGCGCATTATTTACTTTGATCGTCATCTGTGGGCCATAAACACTAAGCCTGAACGTGAACGCTTATCGTTATCGTTAACGCTAAAAAGTCAAAAGTTTTATAAACTGGGCTTACACAAAATAAATAAACGGAACAAATTTATATAAATTTATAATCACAAACTTTTATTCGTCATCGTTTAAAAAAAAAACGAGTTTATCATTTTGAAAAACAGTTGAAACGACTAAAGATGCAAAAAAACTCGCACTGCATCAATATACCAATTTTCCTTCAAATATCTCTGATTCCAATCGCCACGGCATTCTTAACAATCATACTGTTGTCAACTATCGGAATGGGAGGAATCCTTTTATCACCACTCCGGATTATTGAAATATTCTTGGGTTTCTTGATCGTATTTCATATTTTCGTGTTGTTACATTTTCGAATCAAAAAAGGTTATTTCCCATCGTTGAGATCACCACAACGCATGATTATAATCAATGAAGAAAAGAATAAAAGTAAACTTTTGCATCAACTTCAACCGATAATAGAACAGATGGAGAAAAGATTGACGACTCGCGGAGACTATGTTCAGATCGCTGTTGAGTAGATTAATAAGGTGTGTGGACAGTTTTCGAATTTCTATTTTGAATTTAGTATTATCCACCAACAATTACGATAACGTTTTCGTTGCTATCATCCGAATCAGCTGTGGCTGGTAACTTTTTATGCGGCGCATATTAATCATGTACGTAATGGTAATTTTAATAAAAATAACGATAACATAAAAACAGACTTGATCTGCAAAAGAGAGCTCAAAGTCATTTCACATAGGATAACTTAAAATATCTAAAACATGTCGATATTGAAAGTTGCGTCTTGTCATTCATTCATCGCACACATTTGCCAGTATATTTGTTGACTCTATCAGAGTGACTTTTAATTTGGAAGAAAAGAACCGTTTCTTTCTCTAATAATCTAATATTATAATTAATATAAATTAAAAAATGTGCTGTTATTACAACAATCCCAACAACGATCACGAATAAGCTGACATCAAGAAGCAAGACATCAGGAGAGGTCACTGAAGGAGAAATGACGATAATAGTAATGTTGGCGAATAGAGAAAGAATACTTTTGTGTATATTGCCTTTTATGGACTAATATAGTAGAGTGTAGAGGGAGACTTAAAAAGTACTTGGGCACTGGGGTGATTTGCAGGAGATGCGGTTGCCATCAAAATTTGAAAACGCAGTTATTGATTTATGTTGGACTTTTTTCAATTTATTTCTGTGATTATTGACCTTTCATATTGTTAGATTAAATAGATCATGTACTCTACATTTTTCATAGGAAGACTTTCATATGATTGGCTGATGTAAATCAATTGTCTGGATAACTTATGAGAACGTCACGTTTCACTAATAAAAAATCACCGTAGCTTTAAGCGAATATTAATATTCACTATGCAAAAGAATCTCCAAAGAATCCAAAACCTGACATACTTTACTTAGAAGGCAAAAACTTTACTATTTACTACTATTATCAACTCTATATATGTACTATTATGCTGAAAACGGTCAACGAAAAAAGACAAGCAAGATGTTTGATGTAAGTTTAATCTTAAAGAAAAGCTTTATATGAATGTGAATAAGTGGTTTGTTTAATTATAATATAGGTCAAGGGCTGTAATGTGTCTAGTAAAGATAGTGAAGACTGAAAAATAGAATAGCATTTACTATTTAAAATATAAATACATGTAAAGCGTAACGGTAAAGCTTCGCTAATTTCTTTGATTGATTTGATTGGTCAATAATCATGCTTGGATCGACATAAATTAGCCAATCA